ATAATCTCTATCTTCTTAATTTTATGGAGGCATGTTTTGTGGCTCAGCATGTGATCTATCTTGGAGAATGTTCCATGTACGCTTGAGAAGAATGTGTATTCAGCTTTTTGTGGATGAAGTGTCCTGTGTATATCTACTAAGTCGCTTTCTTACATTGTTTCCCTCAGATGAAGTATGTCCTTGCTAATCTTGAGTCTGGTTGATCTATCAAGAGGTGACAACGCGGTGTTGAAGTCTCCCACTAGTATTGTGTTGCTATTGATGTCTTTTTCCAAATCTATGAGTAGTTGTTTTAAGTACTTTGCTGGTCTCTCATTAGATGCATATACATTTATTATTGTAAGTTCTTCCTGTTGTACAGATCCTTTGATCAATAAGAAATGGCCTTCACTGTCTCTTATGACCTTCTTCACTCTGAAATCGATGTGGTCTGATATTAGGATGGCTACCCCAGCTTTTTTCTGGGAGCTGTTTGCCTGTAGGATTGTTTTCCAGCCTTTGACTCTGAGTCTGTGTTTGCTTTGACTATTGAGATGCGTTTCTTGCAGGCAGCAGAATGTTGGGTTCAATTTTCTAATCCGTCCTGCAACTCTATGTCTTTTAATTGGTGCGTTTAGCCCATTGACATTGAGAGAGATTATTGTTATGGGATTTTGTCCCATTCTGTTAAAATTTGGTGTATTTGAGGGGCCTTTCTTGCCTTAAAGTAGCCCATTTAGTTGTTCTTGTAACCATGGTTTTGAGTCTATGACGTTCCTGAGCTTTCGTTTGTCTATGAAACTGTGTGTTGTTCCTTCTATTATTAATGAGAGTCTTGCTGGGAAAAGTATTTTTGGGGAGGCATTTATTTCATTGAGTTTTTTCACTATGTTCCACCACTGCTTTCGGGCCATGAGGGTTTCATCAGAAAAATCAGCTGTGAATTTTAAGGATGCTCCTTTGTAAGAGATTTCTTTCTTCGATCTTGCTGCTTTCAGAATTTTGTCTCTGTCTAAGGTTTTGGTCATTTTGATCAGAATGTGTCTTGGGGTATTTTTATTCGGATTTCTTCTAGCTGGTACCCTTCGGGCCTCCTGAATGTGGTCACAAGTTTTCTTCAGCTCTGGAAACGTTGTAGCAATGATTTCTTTGACAGTTTTTTCTTCATCAAGGTTTTCTTCCTGTCCCTCTGGGACTCCAATAAATCTTATATTATCCCTCTTGGCTTTGTCACGATCTTCTCTTGCCATCTGTTCTCGAACTGTGAGTCTCTTTTCCATTTTCTGCTCTTTTCTGGCAAGTCTCTGAACTTGATCTTCGAGCTCACTGATTCTGTTCTCAGCCGCTGTTACTCTGCTGTTGAGGCCTTCCACTGAGGTTTTCAATTTGGCTACCAGGTTTTTCAGGTCTGACATTTCCGATCGCATTTTCCTCATTTCTGCCTTCAAATCCTCTTGTCTTTTATTGGCATTGCTTTCCATTGTTTCTTTTAGTTCCCTAAGCATCCTAAGTAGCTCCCTTCTGAATTCCTTGTCAGAGAGGTTGTGTAACGCTATAGTACTATTGGTGTCTTCTGGGCTAGCCTCGTGAATAAGAAAGTTTGGTGGGCTTTTGCATTGCTTTACCATTGTGCCCAGTGTGGTTTGGTCCTTCACAGTCACTGTTACTATTCTGTTTGAGTGAGCAGAGACTGCCAGGAGCCGTTCAGCTTTGTTGCTGCTAGATGGGCCTCTTCTACCTTTCTGAGTCTGACCTTCTTCTCAATCAGGAGTTATTCGTTGTTTTATAACTGACATTGAGTGAAACTTTTGGAGGAGGTGCTATTTACTACTGAGCTTGTGCAGCTATTTTCAAACAGAACTTTTGTTGGACATGGAGTAGGCGAGTGGGATGTTGTTGAATTGTAGTAGAAGAGGTGAGAAATTTTTGGTCGGTATTAGGTGACAAGTTGATGAAAAGGATGAAAGGATGAAGGTCCAAATTGCTTGGAGTGAGTGATATACCTGCGACCGCGTGAGCAGCCGCCTGCCATGAAGAAGGTCACGCCCCCTTCTTAGAGGCCATGCCCACTTCTTAGAGGCCCTGGCGGGGATCATTGGGCAGGCGGCGTGTCTGGGGTCAGGGGCGGGCCTTGGCTGGGCTCCTCCAACCCACCTCGATGGGTGGGGCCGGTGGACTGCTGGACAGGCTGGTCCTGGAGCTGGACGCGGTAGGGTCTGCGCTGTCCTCCGGCCAATTCATTCTCTTTAAGTGTTGAATATTACCCCTAAGTGTTTTAGGCTTCATTGATGAATTTCCCCCTTCCTCCTCCCAGAGAAGCTTAAACTGCACTTGTGAGCACCCCTCATCCCCTGACAATACCTTTATCTTTCCTTTCTGTTTGAAGTGAATTACTTGCTTTTCTATTTCCCCTAAAGCTTTCCATTTTATTATAAACTTTTCATTTTACTCTTTGCTTAAATACAGAAAGACCGTTAATGCTATGCTCCTAATATCTGGGGTCCTAATATCTGAGAGTATCCTTGAGTTAATCCCCCCAAAAGAACGACCTCCACTGAAATGCTTCACATCTGCAGATGATCGATCATACCTATGTGCAGTCCTATACCTCAAACCCCTCCAGATGTTTTATAAGTATGCTAACAACTCTGTATTAAACAAATCATTTTGACCATCAGTCTATGGTCCTCCATCTCTTTCATGTTGAGGAAGCCTGGGAGGTGGCTCTTTGCCACTGAACGTGTTGCACACCCATATCGTGGGCTCACAGCTATATAAATTAGAAATTGACTACCAATGCTTCTTTCTCTGTTTTTGCTCTACTTTGACTCAGAGGGTGTACAATTACTTTGAGCAAGCTGTCTTACTTAGTATCAGTGTTACTCATTCTTATCATACTCTATACTTTATTTAATTATCTTCTTTATCTATTGAATTTCTCTGAAATGGATGGACCAATAGCAAAGCGGGTAGGGCGTTTGCCTTGAATGCGGCCAACTCGGGTTCGATTCATCCATCCCTCTTGGAGAGCCTGGAAAACTACTGAGAGTATCCCATCTGCATGGCAGAGCCTGGCAAACTCCCTGTGGTGTATTTGATATGCCAAAAACAGTAACATCAAATCTCACAATGGAGATGTTACTGGTGTCTGCTCTAGCAAATTGATAAAAATTGGGAGGACAGTGCCACTCAGTTACAAAGTTGTTCATGATGCGGTTTCAGTTATGCAATGTTATAACACCATGTCCCTTCACCAGTGTACAATTCCTACCACCAATGTTCCCAGTTTCCCTCCTGCCACAACTACAACTCCACTGAGCCCTCCTGTACAGCAGGCACTTTTACTATTCTTCTTTCTTCTTTCTTCTCTGTCTCTGTCTCTCTCTCTTTCTCTCTCTCTCTCTCTCTTTCTCTCTCTCTCTCTCTCTCTCTCTCTCTCTCTCTCTCTCTCTCTCCCACTCTCTTTCTCTCCTTTTGGGCATTATTTTTGTCCAGAATGATCTTATACAGCTATCATTGTCATAGTGAACCCTACTCTATCCTAACATCTTCTCCTTCCCCCTAATCTCATACACACACACTCATGGCAAGCTTCCCATCATGAATTATTCATTCTGGCCTTCAATTCTACTGCATATGGGTATTAACCACATACTATGTGCTTGTTTTATATTCCACAAGTGAGTGCAGAGTGTACAGATTCTTAAGTGAAAATTGTGCTGTAATAGAACTTTTTAAAAAAAAATTTTATTAGTGAAACACCATGAGGCACAGTTGTAGACTTACAAACTTTTGTGCTTTGGTTTCAGTTATACAATGATCAACCAGTGCCCATTTTTACATCACCATGGATCCCAATATGCCATCCACGCCCCATCCCCTCCATGCCTCTGTGGCAGGGCATTCCCTTTTGTTCTCTCTCTCCTTTTGGGTGTTGTGGTTTGCAAAAGAAGCATTTTTAAAAGTCATCATCTGTCACAAAGAATGGTGGGGAGGATTGAAGAGCTAATACATGCTTAGACCTTGGCAGGGCTGTCATTATATAGCATTTTACAATATTTGGTAGCAGCAGCAATATACTACAATGACTCTGACACTCTCCTGTCTTATTAAATAGTATTGCCATCTTTCTCACATCAGTATAAGTGAAAGACAAGATAAATATATTTGACAGCTTTACTTATTTTATTATCCAAAGTCCTCCCAATTTTTTCCATATGACACTGACACAGTTTCATTTGAGAAAATACAGTTAATTCCATACTTGGTTATAGGAGACAAAGGATGTTATCAGGGCCTTAGAACACATGGCTACTCATCAACCTTAAATGTCAGTTCTCTTCAGATTCTCATGCAGCATAAAGTTTAGTACAAGATGATGTAGCAAGGACAAATATACCAAAAAAAGGATCTGAGTATAGTGAAGAAAGAAAGAAATGAATTGGTCATAATGGTCCTACGTAACAGTACAATTTAAAAAATAAAATATGAGTTTGTTCTAGCTAGAGAGTTAAGTCACTTAGTCACCTAATGTGACTTGATTAAACACCGAGTATATGAACAGTTGGAAATGAGAAATAAAGAATGCAGAAATACTTCTTTCTGAGCTGTGGTCATTTTAGGGGGAGTTATGATCTGTTGTGTTCTTCTAATTTGGGTGTGGGCAGTTAACACCACACCTGGCTGTGCTCAAGACTTACTGGTAACTCTGCACTTAGTGACCAATCCTGGCAGAACTCAGGGACTATATAAGATGCCAGAGATCTTCCCAAATCCTTTACTCTATACCTTTTGTAATTTTAACTTTCCCACCTTCCACTGAATGTGATGTATTATTCTTTTGGTTTTTATATAGACAGATATAGAGATTATTTACCTTGGGGACATCACTAGTGAACAGGAGAAAAGGAGCAATAGAATCATTGAGAAAACCAGTACTCTAGCTAGAACTGCAAAGGGAAGAGCAGATGCCCAATATTCCTCCCCCCTCTAATATTTAGGGAATTTTGGATGTCACATACCAATATCAGTCTCAAACAATTTGAACAATTGGGGGAAAATTCTATCAATATCAGGCACACTGTAAGTATCCAGTGAGACATCTTCTGGTGCATTTAACTGCATAGCAGAAATCCTAGAGAAGAAGAGTCCAGAAATTTTATCAGAACAATATTCCATTAGACTCCATATAGCTACTATCCCTCCCTCCTGTTTTCAAACAGCACTCACCTCTCCAAAGTGTTCCTTACATCCTATAGAGCAAAAAAGGTAGATGTTGATATGAAAATATTAGCATACCATATAAATTTAATAGGTGGATCTTTCTTTATAATTATAAAAAAAGTGTAAATGCAATTCCTCTGTTCCTAGGGAATTATTCTGATCCCAATTTTTTGCCACAATGTTCTTCAACCTTGCCATACCTGCAGTCCAACACATTTCTGCATATTATTCCACAGACTAGCAGTTATAATCACTGCAATAGACCATTGATATTCAACCTCTCTAACCTTGTTTACCTTCACTAGTACATGTAAAAAGTTTGAGAGGAACACTGGCCCAATATAATACCATGACAGTATCTGATAAAACACAGAGTATGTTTTCTTACTTTTGGATCATGTAGAGTTATTATTGCTATATCCACAAACCTATGAACTGTTAGCAATAAGATCAGGAATTGTCTCAAACTTTTTCATTTAGCATTTTTACATTCAGTGGCTCACTTCTTCTGAAGAGATCATAGTGAACATTGTTTTTCACAAAGGTACTTACAGGAAAATTCACATAGAGCCCTGGAATGACTCACTAAGTTGTTGAAAGTAGGTTTGCACTGAGGTGGAATGTCTTGATGTACTAACTCCATCCGTTATGAAAATAGAATAAGGTGCTCCAGATTGCTATCACAGTGTAGAAGATCTTTACCATAGCTAATATCAGGCCTCATAATATCTGTTTGAGCAAATTACAGAAGTAAGTCAAGGGTCAAGTTTCTCAATCATTTTGGTGAGTGGTTTTTAGCCTCCAAGAGTCAACAGGATTATCTTTGTAGAGAGCATTTGACACCAGAAATCTCTACAAAAATACACTGAGGCTAACAGATGCAACAAAAGTTCTCCTGTGTTTCCCTGAGAACTGACATATCTATTCAAGAGGCCTCTTTTGTGAATTACACAGAGACACTCTACAGACTAGTAAACACCTGTCTAAAGGCAGGTGTATCAAAAAGTAAGCATTCATTTACTTTCTCCACAGGAGGTTCTAGCAGGGGAAGGTATCTACTATACCCTCAACCAAAGACGGTTCTTTTCTATTTGGGGAATAGAAATCGACTGAGCATGCCACTTGCTGAGAGACACACATGGAGCAGTGGAGAAGGCAGGGAACGCTCCCATAGACAGATCAGCCAAATCAACCCTGGTGAACACTGGGGCACCAGATGTCTCAGCAGATTGCCTTCATATCCACATGCCCCTTAACTTGGGGTGTGTCCCTCTGCTCTGTCCACTCAGGAGAGCCCACTTTGGCTCCTCTGTCTCTTTCTGTTTCACTCTCTCTGTTATCTTTGTTTTTGTCTCTATCTCTGTCTCTGTCTCTCTCTCTATCTTTCTCTCTGTCTCTCTCTCTGTCTCTGTCTCTCTCTCTCTCTCTCTCTCTCTCTCTCTCTCTCTGTTTCTACTACTCTACTTCTTCCAATATCATTTGGAGTGTCATTCAGGAGAAAAACAAAGAAACTTCCTCAAGTTCTCCAGGAGAACTGAGGTAACTCCATGAACTCATTTCATGTACATATTCTGGGGGATGACTCTCGTAGTTGTGCTTAGTCAGAATGTAAACTTTAAATCCCAGGATATATTGTTCCCAGGACACAATACTGGAGAGTGTCTCTGTCCTCTTAGTGCTCTTTCTGCCACTTCCTCCCTTAGTGCAGGGGCAGTATCTAGTAGGATTTGGAATCTTAATGAGACCAGCACTGTCCTCCTGTTGTTCATTGATTTGCTCAAGCAGGCCCAGTAACGTCTCCATTGTGAGACTTGTTGTTACTGTGTTCAGCATATTGAATACATCACGGATAGATTGCCAGGCTTTGCCTTGTGGGCAAGATACTCTCGGTAGCTTGCCGGGCTCTCCAAGAGGGGCCGGAGAATCAAACCTGGGCCTTACCTACCGTGCTACTACAATGAGACCAGCACACAGGAAGAAAAGAATAGAGACAGCATAATCTACTGCTAAACTGAAACAACTGGCAGAATTCCATCTATGTCTCTGCCCCTTATTAATTCACCCTATTTCTCTAAGTGTGGGATATTAACCCTAAATGTTTTAGGCTTCATAAATGAATATCTCCTTTTCCTCCTGCCAGAGAAGCTTACAGTACTCTTGTGAGCACCCCTATTCCCTTGAGGTTACCTTATCTTTCCTTTCTGTTTGAAGTGAATTACTTGCTTTTCTAGTTCTTCTATAACTTTTCATTTTATTATAAACTTTTCATTTTACTCTTTGCTTAAACACAGTAAGACTGTTAATGCTATGGTCCTAATATCTGGGATTTGATCGACTCAAATATATCTATTCCTAGGCATTCATTATAATTACTTGACTCACACTTCGGTATAGTTTCTAATACCCAACAAAGTGAGGTCCCGCCAAGGGACTTGGATGAACTTGGGCCGAGCAGAAAAGCAACCCAGACAATCAAAATCAGACAGTATACAAAGCATAAAACTATAGTCTTGATACAAGCCATTAAGATTCAAGAAACAGGACCCCCAGGGAAAGGAAAAGGTGACGTGGCTTGAGGACCTACTCTGTGATTTACAGTAAAGTCCAGTGATGTTGGCTTTGGAGGCCAGAGAACTAAGATTTAGAATCTATTCTCTTACGATGTTTCCAAATACTGCTAATATTAATAAGACGCAACGTATTTGATTACTATGTACACCAAAAGGAAAGAGAAACCGATATTGATGTCCCTGGGAGTAGAGTGTCTCCTTGAGTTAATCCCCCATAGAGAATGGCCTCCACTGAAGTGCTTCACATCTGGAAATGATAAATCACACCTATCTGCAGTCCTATACCTCAACACCCTTCAGATGTTGTTTAAGTATGCTAGCAGATCTGCATAAATGGGCCATTCTGACCATCAATTCGTGTCCCCTCATCTCTTTTTCTGTTGAGGAGGGCCAAAAAGGAGGGTCTAACCACCAAACGTGTCGAACACCCTCTTCATGAGCTCACAGAAATATAAATTAGAAATTGAGTATAAATGTTCTTTCTCTGTTTATGCTCTACTTTGAATCCCAGGGCAATTACTGTGCCCTCTTGAGTACAATTACTTTGCCCCCAAGCTACAATTACTTTGAGCAAGATGTCTTACTTAGCATCAATGCTACTCATTCTTACCATATATGTACATTTTATTTAATTTTTTTCTGTTTTTATTAAATTACTTTGAGATATACAGTGACAAATTGTTCATGATTGGGTTTCAGTTATACAATGTTCCAACACTCATCCCTTCACCAGTGTACATTTCCCACCACTGATATCCCTAGTTTCCCTCCTGCCACAACCCCAACTCAACTTAGCTTGCCTCTACAGTCCAGCATTTTTACTTTCCTTCTCTCTCTCTTTCTCTCTCTCTCTCTTTCTCTCGCTCTCTCTCTTTCTCTCTGTACTTCTGTCTCCAACCCTCTTCTCTCTCCCTCTCTGTCCCTCTCTCCTTTTAGGTATTAGTTTCTGCAATATAGATATGTGGGAAGCCAAGAGCCCTCTCATAGACCCTGACCGTGGTTCCCATGCTAGGAACTGCTTGGGACAGACATTAGTGACAGTCTCCCAGGACTTCCTGATCTCAGTGGATGCCTGATCTATAGCAAGCAACATCAGGCTGACAGTTAGCTTAGCTGGCCTTATCTATAGTAACCTCCAGGATGCATCTACTCCCTAAGACCCTTTGATATACAAATGTAAAGCTCAGGATACACCTAATGCCATAAGGTCCTTTGATATACAAATGTAATGCTCAGGATGCACCTTCTGCCACAAAACCCTTTGATGTACAAATGTCTACCTTGAATGTTAGGTAAAGCTCTTGTTGCTGACCTTACCATATATGGTTATATTGCTTCTGCTCCTGACTGAGCTGCCCGGACCCTATATAAACAGCCTGTATCCCTCAACAAAGTGCTGTCCCTTTTTCTCTCTTTTTCTATTTCTAAACTATACTCTGTCTCTTGTGTCTTGTGTTCACTCTGTCGGTCCTTCCCTGCACCTACGGATCCTTGGGCCACCTCCGCGGGTCAGAGAGTGGTTTGCAGGCCCCCCGCACAGATACTGCAAAGTTATTATGAATATCCTTTTGCCTCCTTTCAGGACTCAGTTTGCTTCCAGAGTAATCATCTCCAATTATCATCTGTCCTAACACCCATTCCTGCACCAGTGTACATTTTTCACCACCAAGAATCCCAGTATACCCAGCCTCCCACTCCTCCCCCTGCTGAGTGGTAGATTATTTCCACTTTATCTCTCTCTACTTTGATTACATTGAATATTCGCAGCCACGTGACATCTTATTTATCTCATTCTTACTTTGGACAAACTGGCAGGCTACCAAATGTATCCTGCCCACATGGCAGAGTCTGGCAAACTCCCCGTGGCGTACCCAATATGTCAAATACCAGTAACAATGATGGGTCTCATTCTCCTAAACCTGAAAGAGCCTTGAATATAGCACTTTTAAAAAAATCTCAGGGCTAGAATGAAGGAAACTTTACTGGGGCCCGCTCGAGGTAATTGACAAACAACAGGATGGTCGTGATAGTGATTGTGATTTCGAAAAAAGATGCCCCCATTATTATTTGGAATTTCCCCCAAACAATCAGACCTGCTGAACGTTATCACTAGATAATTTGATTACTATTGCTGATTATGAACTGCATATGATGTCACACAGCTACAATCGCGGCTGCACGACTTTGGATTTCGGATATTTTAGTAATTACGTCTGGAGGTATTTCTGTCAAAAGCCGCTGGGTTCCGAGATTAGTTTTTGTACCTCTGGGATCATGGTCATTCAGGAGCTCAATAAGCAGCTGGAGGAACAATTCGTGGAAGGTGACTCAGGGTCTCTTCAGGGTTGGGATAAAGGACCAGTTCCAAACCCCATCTTGTGAGGCCCTATGTATCTCCTCACTGCAGCCTCCTACCTGACCAGAGTCCAGTAGGCTCTGAAAGATGGCGGCCAACGTGCTGCCATGGAGAAAGGGTCAAAGAAAACACCTTTCTCCACCTGTGGTGGCACAGCACGATAGCTTAATGCACAGTCTGAACATATATCACCTGACCCTTATTTCTAATGTTCTCGCACTATGAATTTTTTTTCAACTCCCACAAGTAAATGCAATTTGTACCACTCTTAAGTGAGTACTGATCTCTAATAGACCTTTTTATATTATTTATTTCCACATCCTGAGCTAGTATTTGCTCTTTTGGATAAAATAAACCTTTTCTAGGATTTGGGATTAACTGCTTTAGTCTTGACTATATGCTCCCAACATTTGGACAGGACACTGTAAGGGAGACGGGATGGGGACTATTTCAGCAATTTCATGCTCAAAGGAAAGTGTTTTTTGTCCTAAAAAGAAATCACTAATGGAAATTTACATTTGAAGAGTATTTCTTTCATAAAAACGAATCTAATAAATATATGTCAACAGGACAATGTATGGTCTTTGTTATTAAGTAATTTCCCTGTAAAGCAGGTTTGTGATACCTGCTGAGTCTTTATATACAATCACTGAATGCAAATTGATTATATATCTACCAAAGCTTAGCATCATTCTAAGTTATGGAAAACTGTGAAGAAAGCAACCAAAATTTCAACATTCACAGAATTTCAATCCTATTCCTTTGAATTGGATACAAGAATAAAGACAACGTGCTTTTTTTCATTTCAAAACTTACAAATCTCTTTCTTCGAAATTTCTTACATATATTGACCACAAGTATACAAATAAGAATCTTCACCAATACAGAAATAAGGCCTGATAGGATCGGAGAAAGAGGCCTTTGGGAAAGTGAAGATGTGGGAGCAAGTTTTCAAGTTATAAAAAGAGACAAGTCCAGCCTCATAGACTAAAAAAAAAATATAAATCTAAGATCGTCCAGAAAAAGAGGCGACATCGGAGAGGTAAGTGCTACGCAGGCACCATCCTCACAATGTCTGATGGCCCAGAATCCAGTCTCAGGATCCCGTGTCATGAAATTGTTTCTTGGCACATTTTGCAGACAAACTCCTACATCCCACTCAGATCCTTCTAGAAAACATAGTTCAAAGTAATGTTTTCCTGAGGTGATGACCTCATATTCCAGGACACAGGGTAAGTCTTTAAACCTAGTAGGAGTGTCGTGCTTCACTTGGGGTCGTCCACCAATCACTGTGTTTTCATCCTCGTCCACGTGTAGGTCATTGTGAGCTGTATCTGGATCTAGAGTAAGCGTAACTGCAAAAAATTTAATAAATTTTTAAAAAGAAAAGAATGTGGTTACTTCATGCTCAGTTCTCAGCATATTCCAAATAATATCAGGCAGTGGTCAAGATAAAAATTTCTTTTTGACTACCTTTATAGTCATTTTATGATAATTTATTGAAAAAAAGTAAAAAAAATCATCTGTCATAAAAATTGTGGGGAGGATTGAAGAACTAATACATGCTTATAACTGGGCAAGACTGTCATTATGTGGCACTGTAAAATATCCATTAGCAGGAGCATTATACTACAGAAGCTCTGATACTCTCCAGTTCTTATTTAATATTATTTCCATCTTTCTCACAGTAATATAAGTGAAAGATGAGATATATGTATTTGACATGTTTACTTATTCTCTTCTCCAAAGTCTTCCCTGCTTTTACAAATGACACTGACATTATCAGAATGGGAAAATAAAGTTAATTCCATGCATTGTTATAGGAGACAAAGAACGTTATTGGGGACTTAGGACACATGGCTACTCATCGACTTGAAGTAACTGCTGTCTTTAAGTATTAGTACAAGATGATGTACCAAAGACAAATATACCCCAAAATTATCTGAGTAGAGTTAAGAAAGAAAGAAAAAGTATGGTCATAATGGGACTAGCTAACAGCACAACTTAAAAAATAAACATAATAAGAGTTTGTTCTAACTAGAGAGTTTATCACTTAGTCACCTAATGTGTCCTTGATGAAACACAAAGCAGATGATCAGAAGGACATGGGAAATAAAGATATGCAGAAGCAGTTCTTTCTCCAATTTTTTTTCCCCAAACGAATCCGTATCTGTTAATGTCTTTTCTTACTGAACATAAGAAAATTCTGACTTCTAGAAAACGTGCTTCCTTGTTTCTACCAGGTTTCATTTTACTTAGCCAATAAGAGTGCTGGGGAGAAGATGTGAAACTAAGAGGTGGAGTGGCAGTCATTGCTATGGAAGTTTCTCCCCAAAGACCTCCAGGACCAGCCACCACCATGCTGAGACCACTCTCTGCACACATGAAGGTACTGGCAGAGGACAAAGTCACGCGGGTTCCGGGCCCGAGATCTCCAAGCCTACTCGGATTTGGGCCGAGCATCCTCCACCCAGATCCTCCAAATTCCAATAAGAGGGGTCACACCCACCAACTGGACCCCTGGCGCCGTGTAATCCCATCAACGGCCAAGACTCAGAGACTATAAAAACGAGCTCCCGGTTTTTATAAGACATCTTATTATGACATCTTATTATCTCATTCCTACTTTGGACAAACTGGCAGGCTACCAGATGTAGCCTGCCCACACGGCAGAGTATGGCAATCTCCCTGTGGCATACCCAATATGCCAAATACCAGTAGCAATGATGGGTCTCATTCTCCTAAAGAGCCTTTAATATAATCTCAGGGCTAGGATGAAGGAGACGTTACTGGGGCCTGCTCGAGGCAATCGACGATTAACAGGATGATTTGTGATTTGTGATTTGTGATCAACACCTAAAATTTTGGAAGCACTGCCAAGAATTCTCAAGTACATTTGGTGCATTGCTTTGGTGGGAATTGAATGGCATGCAAACACAATGATTATGCCATGGACCATGTCCTATAAACTTTAAACAAGTTGTTGATTTCATTTCATTATGATGTCATTCATGTTCAATATTGAAATTTCAATTAATTTTGATATTGAAATTGGTTAGAGGGGTTATTTATCTTTGTGATAACGATAACAAACTGGATAGCAAACCTTTAAAGATTTTGCACAAAAAAAATTCTAAAACCTACCTAGATGCTAGAGTGAATAGGGAGAGATTGCAAATTACGTTACAATAACTAAACATTGAGTCTATGAGCATGGCAAGGTACACAAGTAAATATGCTTGCATAATATCATTTCCAACTTTACCATCTGGGGAAATCCTTTTTCCATTTTATTTCATTTTTAATGTTTATAAAGTGGTTTCTGAGGATCTATTAAATTCTATATGCCAGCACACATCCCAAAATCTCAAGGCTGAAATCGGCTGCAAAATGAAGGACAAAAATGACTGTCTTTACTTTCAATGCACGAATGCTGGGATCGGATGCATCCATCGAGGACCTGATGGTGCAAGTGTGAAAGACCAAGTACGACATCATTGGTCTGTCTGAGACAAGAAGGCATCAATCACATCATGCCATTTTTGACACTGGAGAAGAACTTTTTCTTGGAACATGAGACAAAAGAGCCATCGGTGATGTTCGTGTCTTGTCAACACAAATTTGCCATGAGCATTGATTCATTCAAATGTCTAACAACCTAAATCAGAGATTGCACGTGAATAGATGTGGCTCACTGCCTGCAGTTTCTATAGTCATTGTCTACACACCAACATCCAATTATGATGAAGGAGAAATTGAGAAGTTCTACATGGAGCTGGAGAAGTTCTATAAAGAAATCCATACCTTCTACAAGATCATTGTCGGTGATTTTAATGCCAAGGTAGGACCAAGAAGATCAGCCAAAGAACTCCACATCGGGAGCCATGGCCTAGAATGGAACAAACAGGGTGAGTACTGTCTGAGTTTATCATGTCCACCAAGACCATTCATGGTAACTCACAGTTCCAGAAGGCCGAATCTAAACATTGTACAAGGTAGTCTCCCGATGGATGGTTCCACAATGAAATTGACCACATCATATTCAATAGATGATTTTGCTTGACCAATGTTCCTGTTGTCTCAAAATTCAAAACGAGACGGACCACCCTCTCCTTCATGCAAAATTCTACTTCACAGAGTGGGAAGAAAGGGCTGCAAAGTTTAAGAAGAGAACTCATAGAATGACCACCAACTGGGAACTCTTTGGCACTATTGCAGCAACCTGGGAAAATGCCATTGTTAACAACATTGATAGGGAATACGATTGACTGGTTCAGCTCCTCCATGATTGTGCAAGGAACGCTGAGAGAGAGATAGCCACAAAAAGATGCCTGTCTTTGAAAAATCTTGAGTTCCTTCACCAACATGCCTTGGGGCAAGCCTCAGGCAAGCACAAGCAAACATCTGAGCTCATAATGTAGTGCCAAGAAGAAATCAAGTAAGACCTCAAAGAGAGAAGAACCAGCAGCACTGGCAGATGCAACAGAAGCCAGGAAAAGCATTCGCAATGCTTGCCTGTCCTTCGCCAACCACAAGATCAAGATGACTGCCCTCCGACGTCCTGATGGATCTATTACATTTTCCAGAAGGGCAATGGAGAAGATTATCCATAACTTCTACTAAGATCTCTTGGATAGCCACATCCACCTGCCCACATACCAAATTCTGCAGGGTGGATATGTCGTTCCCAACGTTCTTCCTTCTGAAATCCAACATGCCATTTTGTCGCTAAAGAAGTGAACAGCACCTGGCCTAGACAAGGTCAGATCCGAACACCTGAAGTACGTGCCTTCAGTACTCATCATACATTGGCTTGGCATTTTACATGCTACCTGTAGATAACCAATAAGGATATCCAAAATTTACTAACAGGAAAATAAATATCAGAAATGCAATGAGGGGCTGTAGCAACAGCACAGTGGGTAGGGCATTTGCCTTGCACGCGGCTGACCCGGGTTCAATTCCTAGCATCCTATATGGTCCCATGAGCACTGCCAGGGGTAATTCCTGAGCGCAGAGAGAAGAGTAACCCCTGTGCATTGCCGGTGTGACCTGAAAAGCAAAATAATAAATAAATAATTAAAAATGCTATAAAGATTGGGCTGAGCGTGAATATCCAATGAGATATCCTCCTGTGTGTTTAAATTCATAGTAGAAATCCTAATGAAGAAGAGTCAAGAAATTTTATCAGAGCGATATTCCATTGAACTCCATAAAGCCACTCTCCTTCCCTCCTTAATTCAAAGAGCACTCACCTGTCCAAAGCGTCTGTCACATACTATAGAGAAAGAAAGATAGAAGTTGAATATTAGCATTATAGAGAACTTTGATGGGTGAATGTTTCTCTATAATTATGCCACTAGTAATGTCAATTGTTCCACTCCTATGTATTAATGAATTCCCAGGGTATGATTCTGATCCCAATTACCTAGTACAGCATTCTTCAGCCATTTCACCTGTGGTCCAACACCTGTCTGCATATCATTCCTGAGTAGCAGTTATAAGCACTGTGATAGACCACTGATATTCAACCTCTCAACCCTTGTTTACCTTCACCAGTACATGCACAAAGTCTGAGAGAAACACTGGCCCAGGATAATACCATGCCAGTATCTGATCAACCACAAAGTTGCTTTCTTACTTTGGGAACATGGGGATTTAATACTTCTACAACCACATAACCTGTGTGCTGTTTGGAGGAAGATCAGGAATTGTCTCAAACTTGCCCATTAAGCAGTTTTCGCAATCAGTAACCTCATTGCTTCTGAAGATATCATAGTAGACATTGCCACAAAGGCCCTAACAGATGAATTCACATAGAGCCCTGGAGATTGACTCAGTTAGGTGGTGGCAGAAAGTTTGCACTGAGATGGAAGGTCTTGCTGTGCCACCTCCATCATTTGTGAAAATAGTATAAAGACTTCCCAGCATTTATCACACTGTCTTATATCCTTACTATAGCTAATATCAGGCCTCACTGTATCTGTTTGAGCAGGATACAGGAACAAATCGAGAGGAAAATTTATCAGTCCTTTTGGTGACCAGTTTTTAGCCTGCAAGAGTCTACAGGACATTTGATACCAGAAATCTCTGCATATTAGATGGAGGCTAGCGTATGCCTACCAAAGTTCTCCTGAGGTTCCCCAAGAATGGCTATATGTATCCCAGGGACCTCTTTTTTAATTTACACTGGAGCGATAGCACAGCGGGTAGGGCGTTCGCCTTACAAGCGGCCAACATGGCCGACCCGAGTTCGATTCCTCCGCCCCTCTCGGAGAGCCCAGCAAGCTACCAAGAGTATTCGATATGCCAAACAAAGTAACAACAAAGTCTCCAATGG